ATAAAAAGTTATCATTGCACCAAGTCCCAAAAGTCAATATTTCCCAAGATATAAAGGGTCAAAGTAGTGAAATATGGTTATCCGCAGTAGTAAGACGTATGTTATAGTTAAGTATAAGTGATACATTGATATTTATTCACGAAATAAATAAAAATCGATTTTTACATATATATATGTAATAAATATTTAGTTCCGCAATATATATGTATATGTATATATATACAGAGTGGGGCAAAAGTATCGGACCGGTGAAATATCTCGAAAAATATAAGTTTTACAAAAAACTGTTTCAGATCTTAAAAAGATCTATTGTATTTACTGATTTTAGCAGATTGATCTTGGGTGGCGTTGCCAAGGTCAAAAATCAGTTGTTTTCACGGCTACTCACAATCAGTTTTTTTCACGGCTACTCACAATCAGTTGTTTTCACAGCTACTCACAATCAGTTGTTTTCACGGCTACTCACAATCAGTTGTTTTCACAGCTACTCACAATCAGTTGTTTTCACGGCTACTCACAATCAGTTGTTTTCACAGCTACTCAAAATCAGTTGTGAAAACAACTGATTTTTTATCTTGGCAACGCCACCCAAGATCGGTCTGCTATAATCAGTAAATACAATAGATCTTTTTAAGATCTGAAACAGTTTTTTGTAAAACTTATATTTTTCGAGATATTTCACCGGTCCGATGCTACAGAATTTTTCCGTTCAATTTTACAAATCCTATCTGCACACGAATACTTAAATTCAGAGTAATACCTAAATTCAAATTCTAATACAAATATCTAAATTCCTGTATAACTAATATTGTAGTATGTAAAGCAACAATTATTGTCTCTTCACAATTAATGTTGGCCATTAATCGATTAAAGTGTTTGTTGACCAAAATAATCGATAACAGAATAATGAAAATTAAACAATCGTCATATGTGAATAACTTGAACGATGAAATTATTTATTATTCAAACTCTGGTTAAATCGATTATGTACTAATTAATAATTTACTTCATCAATCGGTTAAATTACTCCTGATTACATACATGACGATGGATTAATTTGGATTATCCTGATTTACTGCTTTTGTGTTGACACGACATGTTTGTTTTCACGATATCCTCTTCTAAAGCGAGAAAGAGAAAAAGAGGGGAGGGAGAGAGAGAGAAAGAGAGATATATATATATGAACGGCCACGTGGTCGCAGTGACGCGACTACATGACGGTGTCCAGATTCGTGTTAAGGTGGATCGTTCGCGAGGGATATCTCGGGAAGAGGAAATGTTTACGCAATCCCCCGGCTTGGCGATAAATTATAAAATAGAAAAGAACGATGTGGGTCGCGCGCTCAGCCCCGGCCGCGAATTCAGCGGCCTAAGAGATATTGACGCTACGGTTCGGTTCGATCAGCGTGGATAAACTCGAGATCCTGATAGGATCCCCATTTCGGCTTTACGACGCGCCTTGCCAGCTTCACGATCGCTGACCTCGGCCGGAGATTAATTTCCACCGAGCATCTGTGTTATTTCCATCGAGAATTCCGAGCCGGGTTTATCAGTGCCCGTGACGCGATGTAGATTAACTCTACGTAGCGGCGATCGATCTTCAGTTTCGGTCTAGTGGCCCCTCTAACTATGTTAGCGCGCGCAAATGCAATGAGAGAGAGAGAGAGAGAGAGAGAGCGCCCCTCGGCTCTGAGTATTTTAATAAGCACATCTTCGTCGCGCTTCACGATCGCCGTTTCGCACAAAGCAAGCCACCGCAAACGTTCGCCGTTAATCGAATTTGAAGACACACGTAGGCGCAATTAGAGAGGGAAAACTTTTCGACGAGCGCGAAACTGTGCGCAAATTCGATCAGACTCGACGACCGGGACAGAGGCAGAGGAGGAGGTAGGGAAGGGAAGAGAAAGAGCCTTCCGAATTCGCGGAGCGCGTTCCGGCACAGTTCCGCCGACACACAGCCGGAAAGTTCGCCGATTAGGAGTGCGTTCTGGAGTTCGCAACGACATCGAAAGACGCGCGTCGATAATAGCCGCGGCTGATGCTCCAGCCGGACGAAATTCGCGAGGAATCCGGCTTTGCGGTGCGCTGCGAGTCAAAATGCGGCCGGCGTTCTTCGCGCATCGAATTCGAGCGCGCGCGGTTTAATGTGGAAGTTTCGTCAGATTGGATCGTTCCTTTGGACTAGAGACTAGACCCTCAAACAGAAATTGGCCATTGGGGATCTCCGCGTGACTGGCGCAAGGGATAATGGCCTGAAAAATGGCGGTACCAATACGAAGCTGTGCAGATCGTACGATACACACGCACACATTTAATAGATCACGCATTTAACAGATCACTCACTTACTAGCACACACATATTTATCGTCGCCATTTTTCGGGCCATATTTTCTAGCATGGCTAGTCTCTGCTTGAGGCTTCTCTACTTTGGGCGCGCGTCTCGTGCCATCTTTTCGAAGCTCTCGTGGCAAGCGAATTATATTTTGCAGTCTAAATTTCCTCCAGTGAATCTCACTCAAAATGAGCGAAAAATGGCAGCACTTTTACTCGAAACAATGAAAGTATTATCATTCGAAATTGCAAGAAGGAACGTTTCACTCAGGTTTGGGGTGGGTTTTGACCTACTATGTGAGTGAATGTTTCAATTGATTAGCTAATACATCCTTGTGACGGTGATTTAGTCAGTTGCAAATCAGTTTGCATATCTTTTATCGAATAAAATTGCGACGTTTCGAAATGTCATACTGAGAAAATACCTAAAAATTCATTTATGCGATACAAAGTTTACTCACAGAAGTAAACTTCATTTCATAGACATAAATTTTATATTCTACAAATAAATCTTCAAATATTTTTTTCTCAGTGCAGAATTGAAAGCCACTGACATATATATTTATAAATATATAAAATTATTGTTCAAAATAACGTTCTGTCTTAATATACAAAATAAATTCTTTCCTTTAGATTTCACAAATGTCACATTCTGTACATTGAGAAAAGATATTTGAAAATTTACTAATGGGATATAAAGTTTATTTACAGAAAAAAATTTTATATTTCACAGAAACAAACTTTATTTCGCAGAAATAAACTTTATATCCCACAAATAAATTTTCAAGTATTTTTTCTCAGTGTATTGTGACACTTCGGTTATTGTCATAAGCGATTGCTTTGTATACACGGTGGCTTTCAATTTTGACATTTAAAATGTTGCAAGTTGCAAATTAACTTGATAAAAAGTGTGCAATATCTATATATCAGACTCACTCTTCGATTTCGAGTGAAGATACTCGACGATTCAGAGTGAAGAATTCTCTGCACGAATGAAATTCGAGTGACTTGGTGAAATCTCCCTCCAAGAAATTTGGAGAGCGCAACGCGAGTTGCAAATATATCGGCGCGTCTTTCATTGAGAACGCGATCATTAGCGAATTGCAGCTGTATCTATCGCCGATGTTCGGCGTGGCGATGCGTTGCGGCTTTAAAGCGCCTCGCATTTAAAAGTTCCGCGCTACATTAAAATTCCGGTATACGAGCTATTCCTGAACTTCATTGATCAACTCTTGAAACTTCCCCTTGCCACTAAAAACTAGCCACCTTCTTCGACCGATACTTTGCCTCACGGCTGCCGATATACCCGGTATGGCGGTGTCAAAAGAAATCCCCCGAAAGCAGTTCCTTCATGTAATTCAAGCTTCAAGTATATAAGGGAATAATAAACTATGTATCCCTCAGAGAAAAGACAGTGTCCCTCTTAACAGGTTTTCTTTTAAGGGTCTTGTTTCGCGGTCATCTTAATTTATGATGTCGAGAGAACGAGAAAATACATATTACAGATTCTTATAAAACACGTTGAAATAAGATGATATGTTCCCAAAAGTGGCAGTCCAAATATTTCCTTTTTGCTCTAACAATCATTAAATAACCATAAAATTAACATGATAGAATCATGAGAAAACAGATCGAAAGGTAGATTGTCATGTTAATTTCACAGTAATTTATTGATTGTTAGAGCAAAAGGAAAGTGTTTGAACTATTTTACAGATGTATCCGAACGATTGAAAGTGTCACATCTTTGCGTAGTATTGTCACATTTATTTGTCATATTTTGCAAGAATTTGTAATTTCTCGCTTTTGACGTTATCGTGAGTTCCGTGATAAGGAAGCCAGGAGTTTCTTACAAATTTACTTAAAACATTATGTGATATAAAATATAGTGTAAAAATTTGAGTGTAACTTTTGTAAATTTGTCGCTGCGTCAATATAATAAAGAAGATTGCATGATGTAAACTTAGGGTGCGTTCCGTTTCCACGCATGATGCGCATGAAGCGCAGCGTTAGAGTGACAGAGATACGAGAGTAAGATAAAATAAGAAGGAGAGCGGGTGAGGTTCTCGAATCTAGGTTAGGTTAGTTCTCGAACACATGGACTGCCTCAGCTCTGAGATAGTGCAGTCCATGCGCTCTCATGCGTTCGAGAACTAACCTAACCTAGGTTAGGTACCTCATCTGAGTGCTCTCCCTCTCTTTTTATCTCACTCTCGTATCTCTGCCACTCTAACTGCGTTTCATGTGCATCATGCATGGAAACGGAACCCTTAATGATTAATTCAATTTATTTGCAGCATATTTGCTTCAAAAGTGTGATAAAAAAAATTATCTCACGTTATAATAATCATGAAAGTACGTCCTTTGATTTAAACTTCTAATTCTACTCCCTTCCTTCAATTCTTTAATTCAGGATTCTAATTTTATTCTTTTTTGGAATCTTCGAGTGGAGCAAACGTACAAACTATCCTCCTGCATTTGCTCGCTGAAAATGAATCGATTTCAAATTCCTACAAAAAGATCCTTAAGATCCCAAAGAAAATTCCATAAAAACTCTGCGACTTGGTTGTTTATCGCCGTAATACCGTCAGCCAACGTCGTCATCATATCAACAAATTCTAGAAACGCGATCCAGAGTCAGACCAGCGTTTCACGCTCGTTCGCAGACGTACCTTGTGCTTGGTTCTGTGTCGGTGGTAGTAGTTGGGCCGCGGATGCTCGATGACCACTTGCTCGGTGGTGCTGGGGCCGAGGGTGGGGGTGTAGGCGCGAGAGGCGCGCGGGTGGTGATGGCGCGCCGCTTGGGGTGGCTGCGGGGTCGTTCTTCTCGGCGAACGCTGCTCCTTCTGGGCCTCGTGGCACCGGCAGACCCCGTCGCCGCCGTTGTGGCCACCGGCGCCAGCACCAGCACCGCCGCCGCCGCCGCCACCGCCCCCGATGAGGCCGCCGCCGCTTAGAGCCGCCGCAGTCAGCTTGCTGGCGTAATAGTACATCGCGCACATTTATCCGGCGAGAGCTTAACACCACGGCCAACCCGCCACCTCACTGCTGTCATCACTGACGTTAGCGATGACGATCGGCGGTGCGTTTGGCGCGATAAAACTGCTTGCGAGACTGCTTGCGGGGCTTCGTCGGCTCCTTGCGAGTTACGCGAGATCCTGGTTAGTCGTCGCCTTCGACGTCATCAGTTTTCTCCTCTGCGAACGACACCCCCACACGTTCGATTGATTCGCACGATGGACTTGTCTCACGAAAATGTCCTTCCACCGCGTGGAGAAGCCGCGAAACGCAACGAAGTGTCCGCTGAACTTCGACAATGGGGACAGTATCAGGGCGACCGGTAACTTCGGGTGTTAGGGGTTCGGAAATTCGCGCCTCTCTGGAAATTCTTAACGATACACTTGGGTATTGTCCGCACTTGCACGCTTTGAAGAGACTCGCGACACGTTGTTGCCAGAGAAGTGACGGCCTCGAGTGGACGACAGAGACGTGTTAGCTTATCTCACGATTAGCACGACGTTGGTTGGTCACGGCACTTCGGGGACTCTTCCAAGTTCGAGCTGCCGCAATCTGGAACTACGACGCGTGCACACGCGCGAACTACCGGGAGCGGCTTCCGTTTGGACACTTAACCCGCACGAGATTCGACAAGGCACGATCGGTGGTAACTTGAATGCGGCCCGACGCCTGAACTGCCTCACAAGTCGCCCCGACAATTAAGCTGTGGACACGTAGAGATCAAGCAGCTGCTCGCAACTACTTGAAACTCAAGAGTCTACCGTGAAGATTGGTCCCAGGTCGATATTGGCGATTTACAATTCGTTCGTTGCGCGAAGCATCGCGATTCTGTAAATTCTTATACCTTCAGGAGACACGATCACGCCTGCTCCACACACACAGTCCAGTGGAAAGCCGTTATAATTCAACTCGTGTAATCCCAGGGGAGCATTAAATATTCTCTAGCCCCTCGTGTTCGAAAGAACTTCGGATAAGGAGTATCCCAGCTGGGATATGGACACGGAAAACTTGGACGGAAGAGCGCGGTGTATGATTTTGTAGAATCGGAAGTCCGGAACTACGACAGTCGAAGACGATTCCAGATGTGTCGCGTGAAATATTTCTCCCGTGTTTCTCGCGTCTGCCGTGAAGATCGCCGCGAGGTGTTCGCCCTCCGGTGACGATTCCCGACGCTTACGACTTCCCATCGATTCTCGTTCAGACGAATTCACTTCGTGTAGAAATGTCTCAAGATTTCTCCAGATATAGCTTAGATTCTGATATAGAATGCCCAAATTTGTCTCGAAGTTGGTTATTCCCATTTTCTTATTTCCCAAATATTGGTTTAAAACAGGAATATTATAGAAACGCGCTTTTTTGATCGCTATATTTTTATGATATCAAACAGGGAATCCCATTTTTATATCAACTTTTGTGTATTTAATAGAATAAAAATAAAAATGGTAAAATATCTTTAAAACATTTTGAATGTTTTATCGAATATTCAAGTTATTTGGAAAGTCAATATACATTTCGATCAATCGTGATGTAAAATAAGAGTCAGAAGAGATATTGGGAAAACTTTGGTTTTCCTACTTGGAATTGCATGTTTGAAATTTACATTTCATTTTCAAACCCATAATGGAATTTCTAAAGATTTTCCCAGATATAACATAAATTCCACGCGCGATCACAGTGACCAAATTCGCTTAAAAATTGCGTTATCTCATGATATATCAATTGGAAATCCCATTTTCTTATCTCAAACAAGAGTTCTTTGTCTGAAAGCGTGACAGAAATATTGGGAACCTGTGCTTTTATTAGACGGCATATTTCTCAGGTATTAAACATGAAATTCCATTGTTAAACCAACTGTTGTATTCAATAGAGTAAAAAATTAGAATCGAAATATTGCTGAAATACTTTTCGACTGAACATTGAAATTATTTGGAAAATCAATATATGTTCTGTTTAATTCTAGAGTAGAATGAAGACCAGAAGGCATAATGGAAAACTTTCCCAGGTAGAATCGCATATTTGAAACATTCCACTTCAACCCTAAAACCGAGAATCACTTTAGAGGATCAAATTGGATCTCAATTAGATCCCAAGAAATTTTCTACGCGGTACATGCGGCGAAAAATGAAAAGAGTGAGCGACAATACGAGAGAGTGACGGGGAGGCAACAGAAAATAAAGTGCTGAAGCAGAGATTTCCGGCCGATTTTCGGGGTCGGAGGAAAAGACTTGTTTATAACGCGCGTCCTGACGTGTCACACGTCTAGGTATGCGAGGGCACACGCGCGAATAGGAGCGACGGCTTCGTCCCCTCGCCGCTGAAATACTTGTAAATCTTCCTTTCTATAAAAGTCGAACACGAATTGCAGGTGGACGAAGCGGCGGGCATTAAAACGTCGCTGGAAATTCAAGTGTCCTCGTCCTCGCTCGGCCGTCGCGGCATTTCCTCGTGCAAAGTGCGTATGTGTGCATGAGTGTGTGTGTGTATGTGTGTGGAGACTCGACAAAAACTGTAGCTTGCTAGAGGCGTTATTGAAAATCGCGTGGTGAGAATTCGTCGCGACAATGAGCCGTCCGAAATCGGTCGAGCGCCTCACGACTGATGTGCGCGGCGTTATGAAAAACGACAAGAAACGAAAAACACGGACGTGGAATGAAGGAAGGAAGGAAGGAAGGAAGGAAATTCGCCGAGGGAAGTTCACGCTTTAGCAAGTTCCGCTGGAGGAATACGCGAAATATGCTTTCACGCCACGTTGACTTATTTATTATCCGAGGGTAAAAACGCCGGCTCTTTCGCGGAGCTTTCGCGTTCGTCGGATTAACGTAAATCTCTGTCGCAAGATATTAGTGATAAATAAGAAAATACAGGGTGTCTGACAATGACACATATTCGTGTAGATCAGGTCAAATTGTGCGGGAAGCTTCTCCACCGTTTTGCGAACAACTACGTAGAATGTATTAATGAAATTAAGCTATTGATGATAGAGAATTGGAACGCGTGTGATACTGCGAGTGGAGCGCTGTGGAGGCAGTGTCTCTTGATCGCGTTAATCAGCGCGCCACTCCCCTCCAGTGCTTATCACCGCTCGACGCTCGACGCTCATTTCACGCAATGTTACTCTATTCGAACGTCGAGCAGCGATCGACTAGAAAGCACTGATTGGCGCGGTTCAGATACAGTCTGTTTGATAAGAGCGTGTACGGCAAAACTTGATAAATAATTTATTGAAGTGATTTGGAATAAAATACACATATACTACTTGATTAGAACTTGGATGTTTTATTATTAATAACTTGTCCAGTCGCCTTCATTATTAATAATTGCCTGGCATTTCAAAGACATACTTTCAACTAATTTTATGGCATATTCTTATAATGATCTCCATATCAATCGAATTTGTCGAACTAATTCTTTGACCAACCAAATTTTCTTTCCACTTTCTTTTCTTTAAACTTCATCAAAGACCAAACGTTTTCGGTAGGATTTGCATCCGGTGACTGTGACAGCCAATCCAGTAATTCGACATTATTTTCTTATTTTCACGCGGTACAAAGCCGACTTCGACGTTTAGGATCATTGTCCTCTTGTAGTATCTATTTTTAATTTTTCCTTATAAACCATGTTTGAGCAGATAGTAATAAAGCCTTCTCATAAATTTTGACCACTTTGCTAGTGTTTAAGTTGTTTGTAAAGATATGCAAAATGTCAAATCCTTGCGTAGAGCCACGTTTCGGTAAGTCATCAACATTTTTCATCTCTAAATAGTGTTTCACCCACTTATTTACAAATGCTTTTGACTTTCTCATATACTTAGCAGCCGTTTGGTGTGACATTTTTGGTCCTTTCGGATGTGTATAAAGAAACACGGCTTCGAAACGTAATGTGTATTTGGCACTCATGGTGAAATATATATTTTTATCACGAAGATCGAATGACAACTAAAGCTTTATCAACAAAGCATCATAGGCGAAAGTGCCTCTATCGGCTCCTGTTTGAATTTCCCGTTTGAATTTCTATATGTTTACATATAAAAGTTTTGCCGGACATGCTCTTATCAAACAGACTGTATATGTTTCTACAGCGTTCCGCTCACAGTATCATTCGTCAATCTTTCATATTTAATAGATAAAAATTTCACGCGATTGTTTGCAAAAATGCTAGAGGAACTTCCTGTTTACTTTGACCTAATCTACATACGAAATAAATGCAGGATACGTCTTATCATGAGACACCCTGTATACAGAAATACGCAAGAGACGATTATAATTTCATCGAGTGTTAGCTCGTTCCTCAGTTTATCGAGGGAGCTCTATTTCCGGCTGTCAGTTCACCTCATATTTGATTTTTAAAGTTAATTATGCGCCGCTTGTCAGTTATGTCCGTAGCAGAGATTTTAATGTCGGGCAAAAAGAGAGAAGAATGAGAGGGCGTGAGACAGAGAGACAGAAAGAGACAAAAAGACAGAGAGAGAGAGAGAG